AACATATAGGTGGAATCGGCCAAATAGCAGCCTTTGCTTCAGTATCTGCAATTTTACAATTAAGCAATACAAACTTGTGAATACGTTATTTATTATAATGTATTTGATGCATTAATGATAGGATATATTATAAAGTTTCTAATTATAACTACGTTCTGCACATTAAAATTTAGATGAAATCAACTTGGGTCCAATGTGATTAATTCCTTCTTGAAATGGATCAAGACCTCCCCACCTCTCCCTTCTCCCTAACAATAGTCATGTTCAAAAAATTGTAAAAATAAAATTGTATAAATAATATTAATAATTATAATTCTGTTGCATGGCTTTCCTCGTGTTTCTACAGCAGTCGTTATTTAATTGTAAAAATCATTAAAATAAAATCATCAAGTACAATGCAAGTCTATATATAAAACTTGGTTGGAAATTGTAACATATGATTTTAATATGACTACTAAGGAGAACGAACAAAGCGGATCACCAAGGAACAGGCTTATTTTACAGTACCTTTGCAAATTTGCTTTTCCTGTGATGTACAGTATTTTGTCCTTCTTGTTAACACATTTTATAAATTGTATCCTAATTCAATCAAGTAAAGAAGAATAATAATTTCTAGCAAGTTAAACAAGGTTTTTTTAGAGAAAATGTTACCACAAAATTGATGCCAAATTGCGATTTTTTTTTTCGCAGTTGTTTTCACACATACTGAATATTCAGTACATTTTTATGTCAGGTTGGGGAAAATTACACCTATAATTATTGTTATAGTTATTAATAATGATAACGATTTAATAATAATATTATTAAAGTCACTCTTACCATAATGTCATAGTTAATTAGATTTTAATTGGGGTTTTTAACTTAAGTTCTGCGAACTTATATTAAACTCCATGCACACTTGCATCACCATCTAATGTAATTAATGTAATTTAAGCATTTTCTTTAGTTAATCAAATTATAGCCCAATCTTTAGGCAATATTTTATATTAAATTTTTAACATGTTTTCTTTAAACATTGCACTCTTATACTCTAATCCTTCATATTATCATGTATTATCACATCAGATGGCGTAATGCATACTCCAGGTGCCGGGGTGGGCACGATTGTGTGGGGATTCGGTGATTCGTACAAAAAAGGGTGATGTCTTTAAAACGAAATCACAATTCAAATGCAAAAAAAAAAAATTATATATACAGTATATGAGAATCTACAATTTTTAAATAATTGTTTTGTATACAGCATCTAATAATCTAATAATTCGGTAATTATTAACATAATATATCCTGTAGCATGCATGACATTAGCCTACCATTTCATTAAAAATCATGGTGTTTTTTTTATTAAATCAATTCAACAATAAAAATAATGATATCGGTAAAGGTGTTTGAAATAACGATAGCAATAATGATGACACTAATATTGGACATAACACTATTATTATTATTATTTTTTTATTTATATATAAAACTCAAGGTACATTGACTGTTATTACATGAACACCTGAGAATTGAGAAAATTCACATAAGAACAGGACTAGTCATTTAGCATTTTTCTTTTGTGATTGTTATCCCCTATTCAAAATGGCCAATTCTCCACAACCAACTGCATACACTTTTTGAAACAGTGGCTTAATATAGTTTTTGATGTAGGGCTAAATAAACAGAAAACACATGGATGGAACTTCAAAGAAAAAAGTACGGTCTTGTAGTCGTACCTCCACGCATGGGGAAAAAAACCCCTGTTAATGCCTACTCTGTTTGATTTTATTACATTTAAGAGGCATGTGCACAAGTCGTTTGCAGTAAATGTATTAGTTTATTCCCTGTTTCATGTATTCAGGGGCGCAGGGAGGTTCCAATCAGGGAGTGGGGTGCAAAAATTGTAAATGCGGAACTACAAAGAATCAGTGGCGCAACGAAGGGATGGAAGGCCCGAGCCATACGCTGGGGGCCAGGGGCTGCGAAGGGCCCTGGTTGGGGTTGTGGGGGTCCCCTAGCCGCTCCGGTGGTTTGTAGCGTTTTGTGATGTCTTTTTTGGTACTATTGAGTTCTTAATTTTTTATCTTAATTTGACAATATAAGCGTAATATATTGTAATTAAGATAACACTTTATTCGTCTGTAACTGAATTTCCTGTTACACATTGTTTCATTTTCATTATATTATAAACAAATTAATAAATCAAGTTTAATGCTGTACGTTCAATGAAAAAAAGAACAAAAAATGTTGGTACTCATTTTCTAAATATTAATACTGTTGCATGTGTTATTGGTATTGAAAAAAAAAACACAGACACGTGGAAAAAACTTTCTACCTGGCGCTTGAATCACGGAAATGCCTTCGAAGTCGAGTGGCTAAGACGTTCGCCCTGGATGCGAAAAATACCGGGCTCGAGTTGCGGTTGGAAGTATCATATTCAAGATCCAGGAAGCTGAAAATAGTAGTCTAGTCACATGCGATATTAGCACCATAAAAATCAGATTCTTCCTTGCACTTGAACCACCACAATTCCTTCTTAGTGATTCCAGTTGCTATGGCAGTAGCCCAGTATGCTAAAGGTCCCAAGTTCGAGTCCGAGTATTTTTTTTTTCTTTCATTGTCAGATTCCTCTTTTGTTAAGTTTCAATTTATATTGCATTTTCCTACTTCCAAAACAATTTTTGCATTATGTGGCCGTTTGCTGTTTTATGGGTTTTTCCCATTTGCCTTTTTAAATTTATATATTATTAAAGAATCTCTATTGAGATCCAGCGGGCCGCAATTGATGCATGGTAGAGATTGCATCTTTAGATCTCCGATCTTGTTCACAAATTCACAGACTAGTGCTGTCTCGTAAGAATTTAGTAGGACGCGTTAAGAATGACAAAATATTCTCTGTATGAACCGAGCCGCATAGTATAAGGCTTGTATTCCACTATTTGCATTCACACCTGGGCTGTGTATATATATATTGCCTTGGTTTGGCTCTGTAATCATTAGTGGTCGTTGGACTAGTCTGGGCCCTACCTAAGCTGGTCAAACGTTTCGTTTGGGTCTGTACCCTAGCTGCACTGATGAGGCCTGGAAGGCCAAAACGGATCAGTCTGCAGACATTGGGATTCTTCCAGTGGATGCTTGTTTATTTTGTCATTCTGATCGGATTTTCTCTACTGTTCCGTTTTAATTTTATATATATATACATATATATATATATATATATACACATAT